GGGGGCGGGCAGTGGGGCAGAGATGCGGTGCCAAGGGGGGCAATTCTCAGGGCGTGGGGAAGCCTGCAAGGGGTAGAACAGACGCTACCACTAGCCTCGCTGTCTAATCCTACAGGGTAGGTGTACCAAGAGGCCTTTCTTGACAGCAAACTTAGCTTAGTTATCGCAGATGCCATGCCCTGCAAGGTTATTCTAACATCACGCATTGAAACAGATCCCTAGATACTACCGGGAGGGAGGTGCAACCCTGGGATAAGGCCTGGGGGGGGAACCCCACCCTTCAGGGTTTCTAAGCTTTGGCCACACACAGCCAGGTCCACACCAGTCTGGAATTTGGGGGCAGCCAAGGGGAAGGTTGGGTGGCAGACTTCAGGGGGCCCTTCCCTCCATCATATCCGAAAGCCTCTGAAATGCTAAGAAAAAAGGTGGGATGGAAGAAAGAGCAGGAGGAACAGGCAAATTCAATTCCCAATTTCCCACTGTAGAGACCGTCAAACCTCCTATGGGAAATACCAAATGAGTGATTTGATACCAACTATTCAAGCTGGAAGGAAACAGATGCCCAACCTTGTTCAATTCCCTATTCAATGACGGAGGCCCATGAACTTTCAGTCATTTATAAAAGCAAAGTGGTAATTGCTGCACTCACTGTCAAAAGTTATCAATCCTAAACTGACTATAATATGCCTACCCTCCTCGACAGCATCAGTGGCTACAAAAACTTTTTCAAGCTTATGCATCTCCAAGAGGCTGCGGATTTTCTTTACTGCTCCTTGCAGGGAAGGCACATCTTCTCTGTGACCCCAAATGAAGTCTTTCCTTCTGAGATGAACCCCAAGGTATGGACCACCTAGAGCTGTGCCCATCTTAACCTAAGAGAGAAAGATCAATAAACTTTAAAACTTGAGAGCACCAGTATTCATTCACACTGAAAAGGCCTGAATGCATGATCTCTGGATAAGGCACAGAATTACTCTAGCTGCAGAAAGTAATTTTAAGGTATTGGACTGGCAGTACTTTGGGACGCTTATTGCAATGTTTTGATTTTGGGTGGCCTGCATCATAAAAGAGAAACTAGAGTGTGAAATCTTTGTAAGCAAAAATTGCTCTCCTTGACCAAATCCACAACTGGCAGTTTGCAGCTGAACTTTATACCCACAGATGATGCTGAATACAAGAAAAAATACAAGTTTCCTTTAGTGAAACGAGGATAACAAATCTAGCACCCAGAGCCAGTCAGCCATATCTCAACAGACTCCGTTAACTCATGTCACACAGGGAGAAGAGGGTACAGTAGGAACATGCATGTCCACCTCAATCTGAGCAGGGAGAGCTAGATTCACATGTATCTTCCAATATTCCCTGCAGTGTACAGCCAGGAGTTCACAAATAAATAAATAAATAAAATTATTACATTTGCTATGGGAAACAGACTGTTATGATTTTACTTTCATCTGTGTCCAGTCCTCCTTGTAATGAGTCCTGTCTGCCTCATCCGTGGATTGAAGATACTTGTTTCTAAACTCGTCTCCCACTACACGAAGGTGTTTAGCAAACACCATGCTCCGACGGGTCTGTTGGAATAAGAGCAGATGCCGAGTCAGAAAAAGGGAGAGCTAAAAATGACTAAATGAAGAGAGCTTCACATACACAGAGCTTCCAGGATGCAGTTACTTCTGATACATCCATGCAGCACTACAAGCAACAATTCCTAACATTTCATCTGAACTTTAACTGTTTAATCCTAATCATAACCACATTTATAACCAGCATACTCGTCTGACCCTGCAATACATAGGTGTACGGAGTAGACTCTAGTTATTTACACAACAGAACACATAATATACCAAATTAAACACACTAGCAATATACCTCACCTTTGGAAACAAAAGCTGGGCAAAGACTTTAGCTTGCAAAACACCCATAAGAATAAAACCTGCTTAAAAAAATCATGCGTCTAGCCACAGACACTCCTATCAAATTCAGTGGAAAAGTGACGAAAAAGGAATTATTTCCTTCACCTGTGGATAATAGCCTCTTTCAAAGATTTTGTGATGCAGTTACCACTGCACACAGTCACACATAGCCTTCTTATTACAGGCACACACAACAGACCTAAGGAAATCCCACGTGACTTAACACCACTTACAAAGGACACTTGGCAATTTGGTCTAATTCTTAATTTTATATAAGTCTGTAGTCTGTTGTGTGATGGGCACCAAAGAAGGTACAATGAAAACACTTCTCTTCAATTTCCAACAGCCTCTTTTTTCTCAGCACGGTGAAGCCCACAGTGGACAGAGTTCACTACACAGCAGAGAAGCCAGGCAGAGCACTACTGGTACTCCAAGACACAGCCACACCAATCGTGCCTTTGCCTTGCTCTATCAAAGAGGCAGCCTTTTTTCACCTTTCCCCAGAGCAGCTATTTCTCCATATGCCAAACTTGCTGTGGTTAAACTGGTTCCTCCTCCACATCATTCAGTAAGACACAGAACAATTTAGTCTTCTGTAAGATCCATCACACTGGTGATGGAGATCCACACCCCTCTAAATATTTAATGGAAGTACAAAGCCTGCTCTTCTAGCGTCTTTAAAGAGATCAGCACTGGCTTTCTAATCCCATCCCAAATCCTCCAGCAAAACATTTATATTAAGGGAGGATGTACACACTGTCTGCTGCAGAACGCACGCGCTGCACAGTTGAGAGAGAGACATTTTCTTCCTTTTTGTAACATGTCAACACAATACGATCCTGTGAAGTCAAGTCATTGGGTACATTACCCAAGATGTGATGACCATGGTATGCTCAAGAGGCAGCAAACATGTATACGCAACCCATGGCAGTGCAGTGCACTGGGGAGGACAATAAACATCTTTGAATGCTATGCTTGTGTCAAACACCTCTGAACTTCATCCTGACGGATTGCGCAACTGCCACGTCATGTTTGGCACCCACGCAGTATGCTGTGCCAAGTTTTTGCTGGGTGCAAAGCACTCCTCTGACAGCAGCTGTTCTGGATGAACACTTATTTTGCAACAGCGCATGTAAAAGAAAACAGATGAATGTGTGAACCTCCACTGTTATACTTTCTAAAGTGGATGCTTTCTGTGTCTGGTTATCCTCTTATTTAAAGTATGTTCCAAATGTGCATGTGCGATATTGTCACCCTTTCCAACTACCTCCAAGTTTTGCTTCTTCTCCCTTTTTGTCTGCAAAGAAACAAACAGAGAAGGGAGAGACACTTCTCAGAGGTCCATGGAAAAAGACAAAAGGCCCTGGGCCCAAGCTGCAGCAAGGCAACTCCTGTTTGGATATCAGGCAAAACCTCTTGCCCACAAGAGTGGCACAGCCGTGGGACAGGCCCCAGAGCGGTGGCGGATCTCCATCTGCGGGGACTTTCCACTTTCAGCTGGACACAGCCCTAAACCACCAGAACAAGTTCTGGAGTGCAAATCTCGAGGCAGGGCTGCCGAGACACCCCCCACCTAATTTTTTCTGTGATTCTAAGTTTGGGAAAACAAACAAACAAGCAAACAAACAAAATCAGTGTTGGTTATGCTCCCTTTCATGTACATGAATTGAATTAATGGTACAGATCCTCTAATTCTTTGAAATCGTCCCCCCAAAATGGTGAAACCAAATGCAAAACTGCTGGCTTTTTTAGACTTGTCCTTAGAGAACTTTCTGCTTCCATACAGATGGTAAAGCACTCATGTGGTCTACCCGCTACACTGATGCTCTTCAAGTGATTTAACAGTTGCTCCTAAGCCATTTTGGCAGCTCTTTCCTGCTCTGTGGTCATTCAACCATTAAGAATCCCCAAACAATACCTTTCAGCTTGCAGTGGTAGAAAAGCCTAGACAAAAATGGTGACAACTGTGAGAGCAATACAGCTTAATATTAAATTCAAATATTTTTGGACACCAAAGACCTAGGTTGGTTGCAAAGAGAAGCTGGCTTGTTACAATTTAAAAACTTCTTTGAGACAAGAGGGCATCTGTTAGCAAGATTTATAAAAAACTCCAGATGTTATCCAGAGAGTTATTAAGAAAAAAACAACCACCAAAAATCATGCAGGTAGTTAAAATGGAAATAAAAGAAAAAAGAGTATTTTCCAGAAAGTTTTAAATAATTTTGAGACAAGTTCAAATTGTTGAGACAATGTTTTACATGGATTTCATGTCTGCTTTTACAGGACTACAAGTCAGACTCAGAAAGGATATGTGGGCTGCATTCCTCCATTTGGAGAGTCACTCTCAAAGAAAAATTCATAGTTAGCAAACTACTGTTTGGTCCATTTCTGAAAAATATGCCATATGCCAAGTGAATAGCCAGACGTTTATATCTTACAAGACTGAGGTCTATGTAACTTGTTTCATAATATCATGAGAGTCACTTTCTCTCAGAAATTTTAATTATATCAAGCACTCCATATCGCGTTCCATTTTCCTGTGGCTGAACCCTTAATTTTGTCTTAAAACTGTTCCTATAGGAATTATTTTACCATAGGCCCTTGGGTGGGGTCTCCCAAAGTGCTCAGCATTACCTTGAAACTCGTGGGAATTTTGCCATTGAAGCCAATGGGGAGACAGTTAGGACAATATTGAGCACTCTCAGGAATTCTTTTGAAAAGTCTAATCTTGAGGCCGACTAGACAAGAAACTGCAGAAAGGCAGTTCCCTTCTGATTGCAGATGTGTTGCATAGGGGAGGTCCTTCTAAATGCCATGCCCTGCAGCACTGAGTCTTTGGGGACAAGACACCAGGACAAATTCCTGCATTACATTAATCCACAGCAGCCTCAAGACCATCTTTAGCATACACTGCTGAAACATAAGACACAAGTTACTTTCAAGAAAAGAAACCCGAGGCAAAACCGAAGCACGTATCGGTTATTGAATTTTTATCAGAACCAAGTAGAAAGTCTAGAGAAGCTAACTGGAAAATACTCACATTCCAATAATCTTTCCCTCCGTAGTGGTCATGAAGAAGGTTTTCAGCTCTGTCTAACATCACTGACCTATTAAAAATTGTAAAACTGAGTGCAGTTCCCTTAGGAATATAATTTACATTATGATGTTTCTTTATACAGTTGCTAGGATAAAGCACAGACTATGATCTATTTGCAAAGGGAGCATGGGGAATGAGGGATAGGCTGCCAATCTGTTCTGTTTAAAGCAAACTGTGACCCATAGCCTGCTGGGGAGAGAAGGGAACTATCCCATTGCATGTTCCTGCCCTCTTCCTTAATAAATGGTCCTCTTAATTCTGACAGTTAAACACAAACAAGTGTTAACAATCCCTCACGTAGTCCTCACAGTAGTTGCTGCTGGAGCAGTAAGATTGCCAACAGGGAGAGTGATCCAAAGGGGAGAAGCGACCTACGAGATGATGCTCAGCCTCAGAGCTTGCGAGAGCCTCCTGGAGGAAGCAGGAGTCATGCTCACAAAACCAAAACCAGAGAAGGTGTTTTCCATGTGTGGAATAAAATGTCCTACAGTAAAACGACAGATCAAAGAACACATAGACACTACAAAAACGTGTGTTAGCAACTAAGCACAAATTTTAAGATGAAAAATTTTCACTAACATGAAAACAGCCTGTGCTTTTCATAAATACACACAGTTCAAGATTGTGTACTGGAAACATAACTGCACAATCCAACTTCTAAGAATAGAAGAGATTTTTAGAGTTTTGAGTATCCAAGAGCATAGGGGATGTAGGCTTAGTTTGTCCTCTGAGCACACTGAATATGAGCAAACACACAGAGAAATGCTTCTGCTGAAGGGGATCAAAGTCATTATTTGGACCTTCTACGAAAATGAGAGGAAGTAAATAACCAGTTGACTTTAGATTATCACTGCTGATAATCAGCTGGACACTTGCACATAAGGCTACAAATAATCTGGAAAATAGAGCAGACTCTGCTGGTGGAGAAGCAGCACAGCATTAACAGGAAGCTTGGAGGTGAATCAGATTAATAATCTAAATGTATCAGGAAGATTCCTGTAAGTGACCATACCTGAAGAATAATAATACAGTACTAGGACCACACAATTGACTGTCTGGCCAAAAGGGCAACATGAGAGATCAGAGAGGCTATGGTGCACAAGTCACCATAGCCAGTGGAGACTTCAACTATCCCCAGGTAGGCTGGGCAAGTGTCATAGCAGGATGTGACTAGGCAACTGCAGTTTGAGATACTGTCAAAGACAGTTCCATGAACCAACTGGGCCGGGAGTAGCTCCTGACATAGACTTCAGCAGCAGCAAGACACGGACCAAAATCTCACAGTGGAAGAGCTACTCTGTGACAGTGGCCATAAACGTACTCATCTTCAACATCCTACTGGATCAACAATGGCCAAAGGAAAGTTACCACAGTTGCATTCAGTTTCAGAAAGGGGACTATGCAAAAATGCAGTAGTGTGCAAGTGAAGAAAACAGAAAGGGTCATAAACTCCATGAAGTTAAACAGAAAAAGTCAATAAAGAATGTCAAAAAGGAATTTGAGCAACAAGAAATAAAGGCCTTCAATCTAATTGCAAATCTTCATTCCAATACAAAGAAAAAGGAAATTAAAGGCTTAACAAGCACTTAGAGATGGTAACATCATGACAGAAACAGCTAATGTGATTTTTCATAGCTGTGTGCTAGGTGGAGAAGCTGGGAAGATTCACATGCCAGAACTACTTTTTACAGGGGAACTCATCAGGGAACGTGTCTCAAACCAAAGTGTCCATAGGAAGTGTGCAGCGATGGAACAGCTAGACAAAATGAACCAACAAATGGCCAACACCAGGCAGTATTCACCCAACAGTTGTCAAGGAACTCAAGGAAGAAGCAGCTGCGCCACTAATTCTGGTATGCAACTTCTCACTTAAAACTGCAACACAGCAAATGCAAAGTCAATTTTCTAAAAATGCACTTGGGGATGTCTGGGATGCAACACAGTGGTAAACGTGATACCAGTACTGGACAATTTAATAGCAACTATTACAAAAACCAGAATTAATGGATACCTAAAGTAAACTGGAGAAGTATCAACACAGAGCTCTGAACTCTGAACAATCAGAGTAGTCTGAGGACATGTGGATAAGGGAAATCCCATTGACATTGCCTACCAGGATTTCCTGACAGCCTTTGTTAAAGGCTTTTAAGAAAACTTAACAGCAACGGCACAGAGAGAAGGTCCTTGCATGGATTAAAAAAAAGTTTAAAGACAGGGATAAATGTCCAGTTCTCATTGTAGAGGGAGGTCACAAGTGGAAGGGATCTGCTTTTCACCATATTCCTAAACAACCTACAAAAGGGCGTGAACTTTGGGGTGACATAGGTTGCCGATCATTTTAAATTACTCAGAGCAGCAAACACAAAGGCCAATTGTGAAGAATTAAGGAAGTTTGATGACTGGCCAATAAAGTGGCAGATGAAATCTAATGTGCATCTAGTAAAAAAAAATACTGGCTTCATCTGATAACTAAAGGGCTTCATGCTCAGGAATGAGGACAGTTTGATGAAAATGTCAAGGCAACACTCATCAGACGTCAAAAAAAGGAACTTATATATTAGGAATTACCAGAAAAACAGAGCATGTCATTATACCACTACATAATGGGTTTACCCGCACTCAGCGTGCAGGATCCAGCTGAACTGTGAAGGTTCAGAGAATGGCAGCGAGGATGACCAAAGGCATGGAATGGCTTTCACACGAAGAATAACTAATGAAGCCAGGACTCTTCACACTGCAGAGGAGACAACTGAGGGGGAATATGATAAGAAGTAAAATCATGCATGGTGTGGAGGTGAATATGGAAGAGCTGTTTTTCACTGTCTCTTCCACTACATGAACTAGGGGACATTAGATGAAGCTTGCAGGTAGGAGTTACAAAAGGAGGTGGGTTTTCATAGGATGCACAGTTAAGGTGCAAAACCTCTAGGTCTTGTTCCAAGATTTTATGGATGCTAACAGTGTGCTTGGGGGTTCAAAGGGAAGCTTGCACAGATCCATGGACTCACTGAAGGATATAGAAGACAGGAAGATCACTTTTGGTTCAGAAAGTCCCTACAACCACAAATCTGAAGGATGTGACAGGACTCAGGGGACGCATTACACACTTGCCCAGTTCTTACACTTTTCCCCAGACATCTGATTTTAGTGACTCTTGGATTTCACACATTAACTGACTGACTTTAACGTGAACCACTAGTTTTAACATGAATCAGTGTAGCTGCCCTTACATTGCTGTTATGTTGGTACTTCTCCCTACTGGTGTCTGATTGAGAAATGTGACCTTGTGGATAAGGTACCTTCTCTGCGTGTTAGGAATACTTGGGCACCACTCCTAATTTTTCTCTTGATCTTCCTCATCACCAGAGCTTTGACAGTTGCCATGAAAGAGTTAACTGTAGGGCTAAACATGGAGACCTCTATGGTTTACTTAATCCAGTTTTCTGCTGTCACTGGCAAAGATTATGGTTAACTCCTACAAATAGAACAACATTTAAAAAGCAGGATATTGCTTCCTCTGCTCCCAGCGGGAGATACTACAGATCCCCACTACTCTGCTTAGGGAAACCTTCATCTCATTTCCAATTAAATCATATTGATGTCAAATTTTTGGATGTTTTTGCTCTCATGGCAAAACTGCACTTCAGCTTACACGGTTTATGTTTCTGCTATGGATTTATTCCCCTGATGTATTCACCGACAGTGATTATTTCCTCTTCCTGTTCTCCCCTATACCCCAGTAGCTTTTGCTTTGCTACGATGTCTTCAGTTGTTACAGGGTCACAGCTAACTGGAAATACTTTGCTACTGGGATAATGTAAGCCTGCTCCATCTCTCATATAAGAGCTTTCCTTTCCTCTGATCATTCTACTGGCATCTCAGAGCAGAAAGATGAAACATGCTGCTTGCTTTCTCTAAACCCAGCTCACACTATTGAGGATGGACGTCACAGGAGACCAGGCACTGCACCTCGTGATCCGAGACGTCGGCTTGGGAAAACACTGATTCCACTCTGTTTGTTCCCTCTTGACCCAGCATCAAACGGTAAAGGAAGGAAAGGCAAACACAGGGTGGCAAGGACATTTAGCTACCTGAGAGAGAATATGAAGGAGCTCAAGGATATTTCCTCTTAGGTTTTAGAACTGCAGCATTTAACCTAACTTACAGTTGGGTGTTTCTTACAGTGTAAATTACTTTTGTAATGATTTTAATTATGATTACAATAACTCAATGATGAAGTACCACAACAGTGGGACATAGCCTGTAAGTTCCCCCTGCTCTTCCCACCTGGCAATGGGTTTGTGGGCACACAATACAACAATAAATAGTAATACAAGGCAACTCACTGTGCTGAGGTGTTCTTCAAAAGGATAGGAGCCACAATAGAGGCAGATCCTTGGACAGACAAACAAGAGAGATTTAGGCCCCGCGTTTCCTCGTAACCCCAGAACCATCCCCTGAAAGGCAACACAAAGTATTGGTTCACAGGCTTGTATTTTAAATTAATGTCATATATAATGAAACAAATAAACAGTACACCATAGAAAGATGATATATAACGTAAACAAACCAGCCAGCTCCTTTATACTGTTTTTGTGTGAAACAACAACTTTCTAAAATTAGATCTTCTACTACCAATATAACATTTTATTATTGATGGGGTTTTAAAAACAAAGTGAACCCCAAGCATCCAAAGATTCACAGACAACACTGCAATAACGGCACAAGTCTGTTCTGTTAGAGTAGGCAAATGTCTCACTGAATACAACTAAAAAGACACTGAAAGGACCGCTAGATGTTACCTGTAGTACTCGTGTTTGTCTTTGGAGTACATAAGCTGATCAATGCATGGCCTTTCATCTATTTTTTCTTCCCATGTTCCTTCTTTCCATCCTTCTGCGTAGCCTTGTAGAACATAAATCTGTTCAATGAAGGGCCCACCTGACTCTGAGCAGAAGGCAAAGCAAAGCATTTGTGAGCATGAAAAAACACATGACAAAGGTATGACTTGCAGTTTAAAAATGTGCTAGAAATGCTAGTATTACACTACTCTCTCTCTCTTCCCTGTTTTCCCTATAAAAAAGGAAAGGAAGTTCTGTGTGAGCCAGAAAAGCTAAATGGGTCAGGGGATGTGACAACCTGCTACTCCCACCCAGCTAATGCGTGATTTCATGTGCCAAACAGAATTGAATTGCCATGGAAATGTAAATTTAAAAGCTGGGTAAAACACACCATGAAGCACAGAGGTTTTCAATGCTCTAGGTAGCTGCTATGGGAAGAGAGCCTCCAAGAAAATGACAAGTACAAGCCCTTCTTCCCCTAAATTTCAGGGCTTCTAAATGCTTTCTCCTGAAAGGTAGGGGACAACAATCCCTTCAGAGCTCTTTGCAGAGGTGTGACATTTATTTCCTTTGCTTAAAGAGTCTGTGACACTGCTGCAGATTTTGGCATTTGGTGATTAGCTCAACATGGCATTAAATCCTAAAGGAACCAACTTCACAGTTTCCATATTCTTAGGGAAAGCCTTTCACTTATATACCATTTAGTACACAAAAAGCAGGGGATAAGTATTTTGAGTATGTGCAGCATCGATGATGAAAAAGCAAGTTCACCGAAGAACCCACTGTACAGCTTTTACTGTCCAACCACCTCCAGAAAAAAGTGGCTTGTCTGTATTTCGACAGAGAGCTGCAGGCTGCCTCTCTCTCCTTACAGGGTTGTTACTATGGCCAAAATCACGCAGAAGTATCTGTGACTTTAACCTTTAACTGTCTTTCTCTGCCGAGGGGCTGAGGAAGTCGAGGGGCCGACAGTGCTACATCAAACGAGCTGCCAAATAATTGGGTTATTTCATCCTAGTGGTTTGTTACTCAGCACAATCCTTTCCTATCCCTCCTCTCGCCACCTTTAACTTTTTTTACTTCACATATAAGGATAAACCTGTGAAGAAACCACTTCAAATCCTTAGTCAATTGCAGATTGTATGATTCCATACTCCACCTGCAAGGAACTGCTCATATTCGATGACAGGGATGTTCCTGTTGAGGCTTGGGAGATCGAAGAACTCGGACCAAGGGATCTGGACCTGAAGGATGTCAGGGCTCTGCCAGTGATAAAGACGTCCCCAGGGAGGCAGAACTAACACCCAGTTTTCACTTTTCAGCAAGGTCTTTAGAAGGGAAGCAATGCGAATATAGACATCTCTGCGAAGGTTGAACCCTTCAGGAGGATTTACATCATACAAAAGGTATCTGTGGAGAACAAAGCAGCATAATCACTTCAGGGAGTTTAAACCTTTTACACATTTTTTTTTTTACCCCACAATCATGTAACACAACGCTATTGGGATGGAAACTGTTCTTCTTTCATGAGTTCACGGTATTCAGAAGATGGAAGGGGATGAAGAAGGGAAGGCAGAGCAGTGCATGCTGCTGGGGGGGTCACAGGGGTCTCCTCATGGGACATTATCAAGGTGGCACATGCCACGAGCCTTTCCTGCTGCAGGGTGGGATGCGGGGGGCCAAGGAGTGCACCCCTCGAATGTCTTGCACGTCCTGAGGGTAATGTGGTGTGTGGTGAGAATGATGAAACAACTGGCACATTACTTGGGCTAATTCCTGTGAGCTGAATATGAAGGTGGGAGAACACGTTCATCAGGAGGGACAGGGGAAAAGGGCGCACCCACTGCCGGGCAGATGGGCGGGGGTCCCCAGACCACGCTCAGAGCAGGAAAGCCCCCAGACAGCTGCTACAGGGACACCTTCCAGAAATGACGCTGACAGCACCAGCAGGTGAAGGAGGACCTTTACGGG